GCGGGTACAGTTATTCCTGCCTTACCTTTACTTGCTCGCCGATCTTGGTGGTTTGTTCAAACAGCTAACCGAGACGTTTTCAAAAAGGGCACTCAATCCTCGGCGAAAAAAGCAAAACATGGTAAGTAGTCGGTGGCAGGAATGAACCGGGAGTCGATCCTTGCCTCACCATTTGAGGGCGGTCGTAGTTCTTCGGCCGGCCATCGTCAGGCTCGGTTATACGGGGCTGTCGTTTCTCCACGCACGTGACTTCAATTTATAAGTCCCTGCTGCGATCAGCTAGTAATGCCCGGTGCTACAGTGCTTTTGCTCGGAGGAGATCTGCTACTTGTTTGGTTGCTCTTTTGCTGTTCCCTCCGAACCTACTTGGCCTGACTTGCCTGATCCTTAACTCACTTGGCACCCGCCTCCGCCATACTCTTATTATTCACATCTCCAGATAAACATCTGTTGCGTTTGTCAGGCTCGGCGCCTTACCGTGGGTGTGGTGAATGGAGAGACATACACATAACGGGAAATATACAGACGTGAGCGCGTCACACAGGCACTTTTAGCTAGAACAATGAATTCGATGCACGGAGCCCTGTGAGGAGTAGGGGACACGTTTTGTCGGCTCACGCCATGAGCGACGGTGGACCAGTGACACGCGACAGAGTCTGCCGCAAAGAAGAATGGAAGTCCTATCGATATTGGTTGGGCATGCGGGTCAAGGGAAACCCCTCCAGAATCGCCTTCGAAGTCGCCTTTGAAGTTGGCCCTGGAGCATCATCCTAGCGTAACCATGTGACTCTTTAAATGCGTTTTGCCCCGTTTAGCGTTTTGCCTATGAGCATCACTGCTATTAAGACTCGCCTTAAATGAGTCGGATGTAAAGCATTAGACAGGAATACTGACTACATGGAAATCAGCGCTTTGATTACTTTTGAATAACTTTTGGTGTATCTGGTAGTTTAAGTAGTTATGACAGAAGCGAATTTTCTGTGCCGTTGGCAACAGTGGGTTAACGTCATGCCAAAAAACTGCTTATTCAATAAATATCCGAGGAGTACATTATATACGAGCGCATTTGCATCTTTGCGTAAGCAGGAAAAACTTCGTATATATGTACAATAAAAGAAAGGCATGATTTTCAAAACAGCGGAACAACATGTTCGAGTTTGTGTTAAAAACTTAACAGAGCTTAGTTTTTTCTAAGTTTAGATATGCCAGGACAGTTGGCAGCTACCAGTTGCTATAAACCAAATTTGCTCAGGCTTAGCCATTTCTAACGCAATCGATAGCAGGTGTTGCTATGTTATAGGATATAGGTAAAGACTGGATTGTACCAGAAAATAGCAGCGGAGGAAAGCGTAATTATCACCGACTTGTCTTGCTAGCTACGTCGTCCTCTTCTATCTGAGATTAGGGCTTTTATAGTGTCTACTGTCCCCAGAATAGGCTCTGTATCGACCACTGATTTATTGCCTTACAACTTGTTCTTGGCTCGAGCTGTCTCCAGCCCCAAATAATCACCTCTCGTGTCACTTCGATCTCTCGCAAGTTAAAAACGGCAAAATAAGGTTATACAAAACCACTGCCATTGATTGTCATTAAGAGACCAAGAAGTGTGCGTTGGTGCGTCGGGCATTGTTAGTGATACGGATGGTCTTAACACGCGTTCGAAATAATTCGGTGATGATGAGACTGATCCAGACAAGCTGGGTCGATGAGAAGCTCTTCAGCATTGAGGTGATTAACATAAATTTTTTCTTTCTAGTGTACATTTACTGCTGCCACTCCGCCCTAATCTTGGTTTAATGTCGTGGATTGCATCAGATTAAAATAACAAATCGGCCCTATCGTTCGATTAGCCCGTTGTTTTGCATACTGCAGTATAGAAAATGTACGTAGAGTTTACTATCTTATCATTATCGTGTTGTACGGTGGGTTTCTATCCTTTGTAGCTATATTGCGCTGATCGAAGAAGCAGATAGTAAACGTATGAACAAGCTAAGAAGTTCTATGAGAAAAATAACTGGCTAGCTTTCCACTAGCGAGCAAGAGAAAGTATCACCTCTAACACACACTTTTCACAGGATACTTGTTCACTAGTCCAGTACACGTATTGGCAAACGATTATATGCAAGTCTAACTAGTAACAGTCCAAAGATGCTATGGCCGGTACACCCGTCACAGTTTGGAGCTACAGCTGAAAATCAAACCACAAACAAGCACAGAAAAATACGATGCGTATACGATGATCGCAAAATTTAATAACTCATAAATCGCGTTTGACAGCGCATGGCAGAAATATTGACATCTACTTAGTTTCACTAAAATGAACTTGCAAACGTGTATCTCGCCGAAGGAGATTGGCTAGGTTCCGATATACTGGATAGAAGTGTCCCCTGACGTAAAACTGGCTAGGTAAATCTTCACTTTCGCCCTAATATTTTAGCCTCTATAGGGCAACTGTAAAATGTCATCTTACCTCTTACTACAAAGCCTGTAGCAGCGTGGAATTTCCTCTAGCGGGAGAATCCAGGAAGGATTGGTAGTAGCAGACGGAGAACTGCCCCGCTGACGAGTGAAGGAAGAACTTCCTTATACCACCTCGTACGATGTTCTGTCTCCTCCTCACATCTTTTCACATGGACCCCACACCCTCTGTTGCCTTGCAACCTCACCATCCCTTCACTGCCCCGCGCTTTACACACCTCGATCTCCTCAATCACCCCACCAACGGGTTAGTGGTATTTCTGATTCATGTGGTTTTCGTCGTAGTCGGAAGTATCCCGTCAACTTGTTACCTGGTCGCCCTTCTGGCCACAGGGCTCTGCCCCCTCGCCCTAAGTCCTCGATGCGCGAACCTCGTCAACCTCTGCAATGGAGGAGCTGGCCTTCATTGCCGCCCTTTTTCTCGAGCTTCCTCTTGTGCTGCTCAAACACGACGTTACATAAGTACCGCTTCTTACCGGTTACCTCTGCCTGGCCCCTCGTCCCCCTGCTTTGTTCCCCGTTTTCGCGTGCCAGGCGCCTTCCTCAAAGCAGTGGCCAATAATAGCAGCAGTAGGAACAGCTCCTCCTTTGCAAGTCGCCCTTTCTATAGCGCCAGTGGTGGCAGCATCGGTAGCCGCGGCGGGTGAGTTGTATGGGGCCCAGGGGACTCGACGCAATGGTCTTCAGGGAGCCCTCAACTGTTAGAAGCCTGTCTTAGCTTGAACTCTTGCTTTTATGTAACCCTCAGCATGCTGCGCGCGCTTGCGGCCGGACTGAACGGAGTTTAACTTGGGAAACAGAGGTAGCGGCTGAAGCCAAAGCGTACATTGGCGCTTGAACCTATGCCCATGTCGACTTAGAGTCCGGGCGTCTCCTTTTCTTGCCACTGTGGCATAGCTAGCGACCATTGTTACAAGGTGGTACACCGAGTGTGCAGATACCGCAAGAAGTACCAGCCACGCTATAAGCTAGCTGTCGGGAAAAGCTTTCCCAGTATACCTAAAGTAAGCTTCGCTGATGTTCGTGGGTTTTGTAAAGTTGAACAGTACACCTCTTTTCTTCCCAAACTTTATCTAGTCCGAGCTCACCGTGCTAAACGGGTCTGAGATAACTTCCCTTATTTACGCAGGTTGTATAGTATTTTTCGTTGTTGGAACGCCTAGCCTCCTTCAACTCGAGATTTGGCCATCCAAGCCAAAATCGAGGTCTGAGGTAGATGCATATTTCCGCCCCGTTTTTACCAAGTAGTCAGGTGACTTCTGACGAACTAAGTGGTTTATGCAATCAGAGGCTATCATTTTAGCAAAAAAGAGGAAGACTTCTTCCTACCTTTATTTGTCTAGCATTCGGATCTTATTTAGTACATACGTAATAGCTATCTGGTGAAACAGACATGTATTTTTGTTTTTAACAACACATGTCCACCTGTTTCGAGTTAAACACCTGCCACCGGGCTAACATTTTATCAGAATTTTTAGAGGTTTCAGTGCAGAGACATTAAAATTGATCAAATATTTTAATATGAATCGCCAGCCTTTCAAGAATTGGTTGGCCTTTTCAAGGTCGATTCGAGGCAAACATATCTAGCCAATGTATTATAAATCCTCGCCTCTAACTGTGCGTGGCGCTGATTGTGGTATGATAGTTGTCAACTTTTTTATGTACATATCACATAGATATCCAACATCCCATCACATATATATAATCCTTAGAATACGCCAGCATGTGGCTACGACCTGCGTACGAACAGAGGAAATGCGTATTCGTTTGAGCGTTTATCCTTATAATGGCGCGGTTCACCGCTACCGGTTGATCCTTGGCACATACACTTGCAAGGGAATGTAACCATCTGCCCACTCAGAACCACCGCAGAGCCACCGAGCAACCGGGGGCCGACGAAGGCCTCGAAAGGACGCTAAAGCAATAGCGGGCCTACAGACCAAACCATTCACCACAATACATTGGGATGTCGAATGATAGTGGCAAGCGGGAAAAGGGCAGATTGTCGATTGCCCACATGAAATCCTGGGGATCCCAAACCCAAGCCAGATTCGTTTGTGGATAGATAGATAGATAGAGGTGTGCGTTGTAAAGATTTCCTGCTGTTAAAACTTCTTCCCGAGGGGTACGAATCGCGAGTTGTGAGCCAGTGCGACACGAATAGTGAGTAACGTGTGTGCTGAAGGGAACGCAGTTATCCAGAGATTAGCCTGCCGTCGGACTTAGCCGATAGTGGAAGCTTTGGCCTAGCTCTGGAGCTACGGGGTTGTCTGCCCCAAGCCATCTCGGCAGAATAGAACGCAGAAAGCCGATTGCTTACAACAAATGAATAATAGGGCAACCTGCTATCAAAAATTCTTTTGGATGAGACAGTATACAACTAATATCTTATATACATTCTTTCTCACTCTATTTATACGTGTTGCTCTATCCAGCATGTGGTTCAAGTCCGCTGCAAGCTAAATAAATTCGATGCTTACATTTTTTTTTCGTCCACTGTTTTTTAAATGGTTACTTTTCAGGTTTGGTTTCAAAATCGTCGCTCCAAAGAGAGACGCATGAAGCAGTTGTCAACGCTGGGAGCACGGCGTCATTTCTTTCGCAGTCCGCGCCGGGTGATGAGGGCATTGAGACCTGGTATGAGTCCAGACCCGCTCGACGACAGCCCTCCGGATTTGCTCGCTCAACCCGCGGGGGGACCAACAGGCGGTCCCCAGAACGCGTTTGGATACTTCTCTGGTGAGTTTTATCACCAAATAGTTCATTAAGAGATATCGATCAGTCCAAGGCGTAAAATTGAGCCAAGTAAGATTTGGGTAAACTAGGTAAGAGCCCTGTCCGTACGGCATATATACGCAGTACCGAAGTGTTCCATTATGTCCTGTATTTATTTATAAAGCTAGACAGCTTATCTGTGATTAGTTTCCTACATGCTGTTCATTACGCCATCGGCGGTCTTTGTTCTTTGTCTCAAGCGATGGAGACATTGAATGCGTCACGGCATTGCGCGCCATATGCTACAACACCAATAGACTTTTCGTCATACGGCTAAATGGACTGGGTTCTTTGGTGGAGATGCACTGGAGTGAACCTTTGTGGCTCGGTAGCGTCCAGCTATTACCGATAGGACAGCTACCCGTTTCGTTGTCGGGCCCTTGTGAGAGGTCGCCAAATCCAGATAGATCGACAGAACTTCAACTAAATACCTCGACTGCGACCACTAAGTAACACATACGTCTTCTTTGCCAGTCTTCTGCTGACGACAATGAATATGACAACAGTCATTACCGTCACTATTATTATTATTATTTATATTAGTATTTCGTTGCGCAGATCTGCTGCATCACTACTACACGTACGTTTATCTCTCTCCTATAATTCCTGCCAACCTTTCCAATATATATATATATAGTAAGAAAATTGGCTACTCTATATTTAACACAGATATACCAGCTGCGGATCTGACTACGAAGTATTCCGTGAAGTGATGAAAGTAGATTACCACATAGTCTCACCCATGGCGTTCTAGAGATCCGTTTCGGTACCTCAACCCCGTTCCGTTGGCATCCACAGAACATTCGTATCATTTGTGTCGTTTGTTACCTCGTCTAGACACAGAACGCGCTTAATATATATTATACTTAGCATAGTTTCCCGCTGAGACATTATGTGCTTGATGTACAGAATAGTGTACACACATGTAAGCTACTGACCTCAAGGGACAAAATCGCTCTGTAAATCGTTGCCGCTGTAGTGCTAACAACAGCAATATTAGCGTCGAAAATGACGCAAGCCGTGTTTCTTTTCGTAGAGGGCACAACTAAGACTCGATCTTTCGTTAGCAGTGTTCGTTATTTGTTCTTCATTTATTCTTGTTCAGTGTCTACTACGTTTTTCTCGTATCCTCTAATTATTGTTGCCAATTTTCCTCTTCACAATGTCCTGCTATTTGTCTCATGCATTCCTGTCATAAAAAGTCAATTAGACTCGTCTTCAAAAAAGGGCAAGAAGAAAGTAAAAGCGCGCTATAGGTCGTATCGTCCGTATGTACGCGTCGGTACGCGCTGTTTCCATCCATATAGCTGTCCGTATATGTACGTGATCAGTAACAACATACTACTTTAAAGCTTCGAACATCGGACGTGCAGGACGTCACGACGCGATCTCTGTCCTCCGTCCGCAGGCTGATTCAGCTCTTTCATTTGTTGTCGCCTCGACGCCGGCTAGCAGCTGTTTCTAAAGTGATGCTATTTCGCGATAGACGGGTTGCGATAAAGCGGGAGAGAAAGGAAAAAAGCTTCGAATCGGACCGAACAAACTGATGCATATACAGCGCATCGCTGAAATGTACTCTCTCTTTATTTCTCCGTCATCTGCTCTGGCCCTGTAAAATTGCCTCAACCACACCGGAGATTGCTGCGGTACCTGTCTGCTCTATCGCTCTTTTTTTCTGCTCTTTTCATTGTTTCTTCGTGTATCTCGATCATTGGTTTCTGTGTCTGAAGAGCTTCCCTGGCTGCTGCCGTCAAACTGACGGCCTGTAGTCGACCCTTTACCGGCTGCTCAGCCGGGGCTGGACCTACGATTCTCGCTAACGTGTCTACACATACACACACAAAGACATACATACACATATATCGAAGGCAGCACCGGAGAAAACAGGACAGTCTTCGATATTTCCGTTCAGCTTATGTTAATGGTAGCTTCGTAATCGTGGTAACGGCAGTGTTGGCGAAATGTTTACGTCGTTGCCTTTTCATTTCGCCGTCTAGACGGCACTGCTTGAAGAGCTCTATAATAATATCCATATTGGTAGACAAGCTCTAGCTCAAGACAACGGCTTTAGTCCGCAGTAGCATCTGCACCACAATAACGGCAATCGTAGAAAGTAACGACAGCCACTTCGTTATGTTCGATTTTGGAGTTAATTAAAAATTTGAAATGGGCTTCAGGGCAGCGGAGATGGGCACTTTTTGCTGGTGTTGCCGCTGCTTTTTTACTGTCTCTAGCAGCCACTCCCGCTGCGGCGGCTGCCTGTCTTCTAGTAGCTGTGACGCTGCTGATCCGGCATTTTTATTTAGTATAGTATAATACATAGCAGATCTGCATAGCCTCCTTTGTGGGTGAGCGTTGATCCAGAGTTGTTAGGGCCGTCAAAGTTATATGCGACGTGGAGGGAAAGTTTAGGCGTTGACTGCTCACCAGGCTGTAGCATTAGACATAACAGCAGCATCAGTCAGAGCAAGTACATCGCCTTCTTTGTTCGCGTGGCTATACTGTCGTCCTGCGGCTGTTGCGACGAGGCCGCTGCTTCACTGAGTTCATCACCGAATCGGTCCGCATTGGCGAATAACTCGATAAAACAGTGGATGAAAAAGTCGACGTTACTTTGTGGTGAGCAGCGACGCCACTGATGTGGATATATGTGAGGCGACTAGACCCCGTTGACCGAAACCGAATTGCCGATACCTCGAAAGCGACCAAAGCGTCCAAAAACGCACGGGCGCAAGCAAAACGGCGATTTTAACCGGCGGTGTCAGATTGGTCAGACTGATCAAGATGCACGCACAATACTGCCGGAGGAAAATCTGCCTTATATGATCCGCCCCACTCCCCGTGTCTGACTTTCTTGTCCTTAGCTTCAAAGAGTCGCTGGTGCTGCTGCAGGAGGGACTTATTGACGACTGAAATCTATATTATGGCCAAACAGCCGTAGGCCGTTTTTCATCAGGCGCCGCCTGATGAAAAAGCGATAGGCGATCGCTACAGCGTACATTACACAAGAAGGGTGGAGGATACTAAGGGGTGATTCGAGAAAGTCGGCGACAACAACGCGGGCGATGCCGGCGCAAGGGAGGTGAACACCACGAAACGAGGGGCCTTTTTGCTGCTGCTGCTGTCGAACTCTCCTCTGCTGGATATTGGCCGCCGATTCCGACGGATATCTGCTGAAGGCATTGCGAAGAAGCCCCTCCCAAAAGAAAAGCTGTCCGCCTTCAGCGGCGGACTATAATCTACACGTACATCCGTATGCGCCAGTGTCACGGTCTGAGCTATTGCTGGTATCTTGTTGTAATGGCATAATGTCCTCGACACTAGCGGGACCTGTTGTTCTTGTTCCTAACCTATGTTGCTATGGCGACGACAACGACTGCGAAAATGAAGGAAAAAAATAACAAGAGCAGCAGGAATAACCGGCTCGAGGCGACGCTTAGACAAGCGGCCAAGCAGACCAAATGCCACGGGCAGGCAAATTGCGGTCTCCACGGGGTACCTGCAGGTGCAGCGTCGCTCGTCGTTTTCTTTTTTCGTATTTCTTTTTACTCTTCGCCACACAGACCTTTGCAGATATCGCTGCTTGTCACAGGCTGCGCCTGAAAGGCAAACTTGAGGACTATGGCTCGATTTCTTGGTTCCGGCGTTAGTACAAGGATATAGAGCATATCCGTTCGTGATAGAAATAGTTGTTTCAGCAAGTTTTCAGGCGATGTAGGCCGTTTCGATTGGCACATGTTTCGCATGGCTGCATACATGTACACACATAAAGGTTATGTATTGTAATGTACCACTGCAGCATGCTTGCAAAATACGGTGTTCTTATTGTCGTACCATGAAAGGCACGACATAAACCGTGTGATTCGGCAAAGCCGTTGTCAGGATAGCAACCGTGATACACCGTTGGTGCTAGCCTCGTAGCGATGAATGCACGGTTGAACCGGTACAGTGAGTCCGATGCGATATGAGATATGGAAAGAAAATGTATGCGATGGCGGCAATGGATGATATGCGCAATGGCTGCTAAAACAGTGAGCAACCGTAGACGATAGTGACAATCCCTCTGACTTGCAACCGCTGAGAGACATTTTGCCGCAGTGTTGTGCTGACATAGGATACCACACTGTGTCTTTGGTTGGCTGGATTCGGAGAGAGAAAGCGCGCGGCCAGACCAGGCTGCATGGGTAAATTGCGTTATTTTGTAAACAAATGACGGGTACTTCCGGTCTCTTGGGTCTCTTGTCCGAATCTTGCTTCCGCACCCGAATACGACCCCTTGCCGCCAGGCAGTAGTGCGAGGCTCTACTAGAAAAGGAAGAAGTCTAGGCCACCCCCATTCCATCAGTGCGGACCTATTTCGAAGGTGGCGTAGAGCCTGCTAAGCACTAAGGGGTAGTCGCTTTGCTTGGTACCGGAACCGGATGTTGTCCTGTCAAAAATACCCCCTGCCCGCCGCCCTTCCTCCAGCAGCTGCATCAAGGCTATCGAGGCTAGGGGTATACCGAGAGAGACCGAAGAAGCGGACTCTGAAAGTTGGAACAAAGTGTTGACTTCGGACGAGTGAGTGACTGGCCTTCTCGGACGGACAAACATGGTCATGTTGCAGGCCGGTAAAGAGGCGCGAGAAGAATTGCTTTATCTACTTGTCGCTCTGATAGATGACGACGGCCCATTGGCGTGAGTGTCATCAGTCGACAAGCAACTTACGCTGCTTAACCAGGCATCTGACAGATGTCATGGTCAGAAACAGAGAAAATATGGACCTATGATATTGTCGCTGTTGACCGGTAAAAAGGCGTGAAATCCGAATGTCGAGATCTGCTAGAACCGACCGCGTATGGATAAGGTTCGCATGCGCTCTGCTACAAGCTTTTTCAGTTTCTTTACCACATCAATATTGTTATATTGTCAATAGCCATGTTACCAAAGGTACGCTATTCGTTTTCCAGAACTCGACAATCTCG